TCTTTGGCTCGTTGGGAAGAATTCAGTGTAATGGAGTTGGTACAAACATATGTATTTTGGAAAAGCTCACCAACTGCTTCTGAGATGCTTTCCAGGTTGAGAATCTCTGGTTTAGAAGAAGAGTCAGGAACCCCTTAGCATTTAGCAATGATGAAAACTTCGAACGAGGCTATCTCATGGCCTGATGGTTAAGGCAGGTGGATCCCATATGGCCAACCCCATGGTTCAGGTTCTGAACCCAGTGGCTTGGGAAGCACACAGGTGCATGTGCATCCATGCCCAGGGTGCCAGTAGAGTACAGACGTGGAGGAGAAGGGATTGCAGCATGACCATTTCCCATGGGAGGTGCTTTCTCCCTCTCCCTGACTCTGTCTCTGTCTAGCTAGTGCATACTTCCTCTGGGGGAAAAAGAAAAAAAAAGAAAAGACTTAACAAAAAAGAAAATCTGAAAGAAACCAGTACAGTGAAAAAACAGTATGGAGAGCTATGAAAGACATTTTCTGAAATGGAGTTAATAGGACTCAAGGGTACAGAGATTATCCTTGAGGGAGATACAAGAACAATGGAGTTCAGAAGAGGACTTCAGATTGTAGGCTGTGGGAATGCTCCAAACTGAGTTTCCTTCCACATGGGCTTCCCATCTTTCCATTTAGTTCCCAAGAATTAATTCCTCTTGGAAGGCAATGGAGGGACAGAGAGGAGACTGGGAATGAATGAGATAGACATTCAGAACATGAGCTACAGTGTAGAACTCTAGAACAGATGGCTTCTACTGAGTCTCTGCCATAAACTATAGTACTAATAATTTCCAGTTATAAAAAGAAAAATAGGGGCCAGCAGGTGGTGTGGTGGTTAAAGACTCCCACATGACAGACCATGGTTCAAGTCCTGGACCTGGTGGCTTGCTTTCTCACTTTGTCTCCCCTCCCCACCCCGCCCCAACCCCTCTGGTGAGCACATGAACCTTATAACAAAATGGAAAACAAATGATAATAATAAAAGTAAATAAAATAAATAAGTCTTTAAAACAAAAAGAAAAATAATTTAAAAAGTGAGTGGGTGCCTATAATTTACAACTTCTGCTAAGTAGTAAGAGTCCTTGACATCCCCAAGTGGCCAGTGGACATATTGCTAAGTCCCCTGAGGGCAGAAATCTACCTCCTCCCACTTCATTTCTGCCATATGGCCACGTACCAATAGGTAACTGGTTTTCATCAATTAAACCTTTTGGGTTTTTTTCACACAAACACTCAATTTTTCACATTTAAAACTTCAGAATAGTCTATTGTGAGTGGATGGGAATGATACAGTAAAAAGAGGGGTGACAACTCCTCAAGCCTGCAATGCCAAAGCCATGAGACTGAGTCCCCAGAGCACTGAGAACTGTATGGAAGCCAGAGTGGGGCAAGCTTTACCAAATAAATAACCTTTAGAGTTCTCAAAGTGTGGTCCCCAGATGTTCCCTCAGAACCTGTTAGAAATGCAGATTCTCAGGCTGGGCCAGTCTTACTAAATCTGAAACTCTAGGAGCCAGCGATCTGGGTTTTTAACAAGGTCTCCAGGTGAGTCTCATGAAAGCTAAACTTTTTTTTTGGAGAGGTTTTTGCTATAGGACGTGTGAGCTCGCCAGACAGACAGAGAGAGACAGAGAGATAGAAAGCAAGAAATCACCCCCCAGGGGGCATGGCCATGCCGCAATCCCTTCTCCATTCTCCTCTTGGGATCTTGGGCACAAATGCCCACACGCCCGGCGTGAGTTTTAAGCCACCGGGCCTGGGACGTGAACCGCGGTCGACTACGTGGGAGTCCAGCGACATAGCCATTACACTAACTGCTGGTCCCATGAAAGCTAAATTTTGAGATCCACTCTTTTCCAAAGGAACTCAAAAACACGAATTTAAAGACAACACTGAATGCTCCTCTTGCTTCTCAGGAGCCCAGCAGTGTTCGAGATGAAAGGCATCTTTTCAAGTGTCTTCTCTGCCCTTGAACCTTACACGTGAGGGACCCAAGTCCCAGAGTAGGCTGTGGTTTCTCCAAATCCTTCTGGCAGGACGAAGAGGACAACTCTAAATTACAAGGAAAAAAAAAAAAAAAAGCCTGGGATATGGTGGTTTTGATGTGCCACGAAGTTGAAGCCTTTCTGTTATTATTTTTTTAAGTATAGACTTACATTGTTGTTGTTTTCTAGCCATGGTCCGCCTTACCGGAACCTGGATCTCTTGAGGTTTTGTGTTTTACTGGGGATCGCAGAGGCTTCCCAAGGCAGACCTAGCGCCTCTGAGGAATGCAGAAGCCTCTGCGAGAACGCGAGGCTTTTTTTGCAGCGGGCTAAGTCTACAAGCGTTGTGCTCCGCTCCGACTTTTGCAATTTCAAATTCATTTCGTCTCTGGGGAAAGGCGGACAGCCCAGCTCTGAGCGCGCTGGAGCCGCGGCTCCCTCTGCTTCTGGAGAGCAGATTTAGCCTTAATTTTTGTGACAGATGGAGTTGATAGTCTCTCCACGGAAAGGGGAGGAAAAAAGCGCCAGTTTTTGACAGGCCGCAGACGCCCGCTGCCTCTGGTGGACCAAGGCTGCGTTGCGCCACAGTTAAGGTAGCGCGTAAGTTCCCGCCGTAGCTCTGCAGAGGCTGCTGCGCTCCCGGGCGGCTGCCCTGAAACTGAGTGAGGGGTTGAAATTTACACTTTAATGTAAACCCTGCTGCCTGTCCGTGTACCTCCTTCCTCTAGGTTGTGACTGCAACCAGATAGTACTGCTCCCCATTCCCCAAGATTCTGAATGCTATTTTTTTTTCCATTACTCGTGAGAAATTCATTCGATTGACAGGATTACAACCTTGCAATGTGAAAACGATGTACATGAGTCATACCTGCCAGATCGGCTCGCTGGGGTCATGAAGTGGGTGGGTTATCAAGATCTCGACAATATCTCCTAAGGAAAGTGTGTGCTGCTTTCTGCGTGTGTCTTGTAAGTTTCAAAAGTCCCACATTCACTTCTCTACCTTCTCCCCTCGCCCCGATGATGAACAGGGTCCAAAGATGGAGAGCTGGAAAAACAGAGTCTGAACCCAGTCGAAGGCACAGGTTTGGTGAGATAGGGAAGGGAGTAAGAATTAATAAAACTAAGGAGGCGGGGGACGGAACAAAAAGGTCGGTGGATGAGCCGGGTGCAAAGAGCCGCTCCTCAGCCCTGCTCCCTGGTTCTGTGCGCTAGCTAAGGCTCCATATCCGAGCTTCCTTAAGAGTAGGAGGAGCTCCGGGCCTCGGTCAGGCTCCCTAAGCCGTTCCTTTCAAGCCCTGAATGCCTGAATGTGAGCTGCCCACCGCCCTCCCCGCCCTCCCCCCACTCTGCAACCCCACTCCAGCGGCTCGTAAAATCTGGCACGTGTGCGTGCGTGCCCAAGATCCTGAGAGGAGAATGGAGGAGAAGGGATTGTGCATGGCCATCCCCCGCAGGGTGTGGTTGATTGCCTTCTGTCTGTCTGTCTCTGTCTTTCTGGTGAGCGCACTGCCTATAGTAAAAAAAAAAAAAAAAAAAAGTTTCAACAACAACAGGCAGGACCAATAGCATCTCGAAAAACCGGGAAAGGGGGCCGAGCAAAGGGCGAAAGAGAGTGGAGAAAGGAGAAAGCGGGCTGGCTTGGAGCGCGCGGGGCTGGAGCTCGGCGAGCCGGAGGAGCGTTGCTAATGTTTTTGTTTGTTTGCTTTTCCATGCATGCATAATGAGGGGGCACCGCGGCACCACGCGGGGGCTCCCGGCCCACTTTTGTATTTAAAGCCTCGCTGCGAGAGAATCCGCAGCCGGGCTCAGCGGATCCTCTCCCCGGGCTCTTGGTCACCCGAGAAGCCTCTGCCAAGGGAAGCCCAGGAGCCGCTCTCCGGCCGCGCCGACTTTCTTATTCTTCCTGCGCCTCCCAGAAAGAGCTCCTCGGAGCTCGGCCGAGGCCCGGGTCCCTGCGAGCAGAGGGGGAGGGGACTCGGGGCGGCTGGGGCGCGGGAAGGCGGGCAGCGACAGACGCCGC